CCCGGTTCCCGCTGCCGCCCAGCAGCCGCGCGGCCAGGGCGCTGCCCACCCCGCGCCCCGCTGTCCCCGCCAACGCCGCTTCATTCGGTCCCAATCTCTCCTCCTCGGGGTCTAGACAGCCCCTTCCTGCTGCCGTTGCAGCCAGCGTCGCCTCTGGAGGAGCGTGTCCATCGTGGGTCACCATGCCCAGCAAAACCAAGTACAACCTTGTGGACGATGGGCACGACCTGAGGATCCCTTTGCACAATGAGGACGCCTTCCAGCACGGCATCTGCTTTGAGGCCAAGGTGAGGGGGTTATGGGGAGGGTAGTGCCCAGGAGGGGTTATGTCTGAGTGGATGGGATGCACAACCATCCTGGACGCAGAGCAAGTGGGTTAGGCCAATTTGCGGACCTTTCTGTTAGGGAAGGTGACTCCCCCTTTTCAATATAAAATTCCACGGTCTCCCTCCCAGAACTGCCAAAGAGCAACTGCAAAGTTTGAGCGGCATGGCTTCACCCCCCACCCTTTCCACCTGCAGTCTCCCCCATCCTTGCCGGCCTAGGAATGGATTGAGTTACTTCGCAGAACCCTCCTTTGGAGGAGAGGCAGGTGAATGAGCGCAGCGTGGACACCTGGTTCTTTAGAATCGGTTTAAGGAAGCCCTGGTGTTATTTACCTGCCGGGCTCCCTTGGGAGGTGCTTTCAGGAATGTCTTTTAAAAGAGGAATGCTTGCTTCCTGATTGAGGAAGAGAATACAGTTTGTTTGTTTGTTTGTTTGTTTGTTTATGATTCCAGGTAAGCGGGTCCGGGTGGGTGTTAAGTGAGTTTCTAAATCATGACCAGGCATTGAATTGAGGGTGGCCTCGGGAGTGGGTGGGTGAAAGCTGTTTGCTACCCTTGTATGTAATGTTAAGTTTTAGCATCGACTGCCTAGGAATTTAGCTGGGATGATTAGAATTTTCAGCATCAGGGGAAAGTCCTAGGTCCATTTTTGGGCAGGGGTGGGGTCAAAGCCAATAATGGACCATCAGGTGTATATAAGGCTGGTCGCTGTGATGTACCTCCTTCAGTGCGGAGTTCTGATTTGTGAAATTGCAGTGGAGGATTCCACTGCTCATCACTGAGAAAGAGTGCTTTTCTGTTGAAAAAGGACTCTCTCCTCCTGCTTCATACCACTTGACTTCTCTGGTTACTTAAAGGCTCAGAGACTTTCAGCGTCTACAATGTGCTGGTCACTAAATGAAATAAAGTATTGCCCCTCTAGGTAGGTTGCGTATTGATGGTTTTGAAAACAGTACTTTTTATGTGAAGACAGTTTTACTCTGTTCCCTTTTTCTCTTTCATGACTGTGCATACAGGAGGATAGAATCTCATGCAAGGATCATTTCAATCACAAAGCATTTTTTTAAGCATCTGATATGTGTTTAGTGTAGTCAATTATCTTAAGTTTTTTTTTCATTTGTTAAGGAGATGAATTGGGGAATCTTAGTTTTAATTTTTTTCTCCCCTTAAAAGTTCCTCCCAAACCATATTGGCTAGAGCTTAGGGGAGACATCCCACTTCTTAGTCACCAAACCTGCCATGGAATGCAGAGCTGAATTACTGGGTATGTCTAAGACTTGAGTGGGGCTGCAAGCAGCAGCTTATCTCACTTCTCTCATCTCTTGAGTAGATCTGGCTGATTCTAAGATAGGATATTTGGGTTAGTTTTTATTGTGGCTTGCTGGTTTGGTGAGCATTTTTATTTTGTTTTACTGGGGATTGAACCCAGAGATTCATACATGCTAAGAAATCTCTTCACTTCTGAGCCACATCACCAGCTCTTTTATTTTTTATTTTGAGACAGGATCTCACCAAGTTGCCCAGAATCACCTCAGACTTTCTTTTTCTTTCTCTTTTTTCTTTTAGTACTGGTGATTAAATCCAGGGTTTGGTGATTTAAACCCAGGTTTTCTTTTTTTTTTTTTTTAAATATCTTTATTTTTTAGTTCTCGGCAGACACAACATCTTTGTTTGCATGTGGTGCTGAGGATCGAACCCGGGCCACAAGCATGCCAGGCGAGCGCGCTACCGCTTGAGCCACATCCCCAGCCCCCAGGTTTTCTTTTTGGTACTGGTGATTAAACTTAATTACTGAGTCACATCCCTAGCCCCCACCCCTTTACTTTTTAAAAAATATTTTATTTAGAGACAGAGTCTAGCTGAGTTACTTTGGGCCTCACCAAGTTGCTAAGGCTGGCTTTTGAACTCGTGATCCTCCTGCCTCAGCCTTTTGAGCCACTGGGATTACAGGCATGCGCCACCAAGCCCAGCTGGTGAACAGGTTTTTGATGTTAAAGTTTTCATCATAGTGATGATTTAATTTTTTTAGATATCCAGAAGTACATCAATTGGGAAGTTGGCTTTTATCTTGTTTGATTTACCAGTGCACTCTTTTGTAAGAATTAGTGTAAGAATGGAGGTCACACTTAAAGCGTCTTTAAGTCTTTTTATTCTTTTCTTACTGTCCTGTGTATTTGGTCTCATATAGGTGTTAAAACTTGGTGTGCATAGGGCATTAAAAGGTCCAGTTCTTGCCATGTCCCAATTTTAATTTGATACATCTAGGGGGAAGCTAAGGAATGTGAGCCTTTAACAAGCATTCCAGGTGATTTCATGTGATTGCAACCAGACTTTGAGAAATACTGAACTTGGGGCTTGCCTCCCACTTGCTGGATCTTTTTCTTCCTTTCCCAGCACCAAACATACAGTTTCTTTTCTAAGCAAATGTCTGGGGGCTGTGTGATGTAGTTCCTATAGTAACTTCCCTGCATTGACAGACGGTGGTGGTCATTAAGAGGAGGCATAGCCGTAGTTGATCTTAGCTGTGTTCCTAACGCAGAGGCATGGGGACCAGTGATTCTGCTTTGAGAGGGGCAAGAGAGAGAAGAAAGGACAAGGGCACACAGTACAGGCAGTGGTGGAGCTTCCTTGGGCAAAGGCTGATTGTGAGGACTTTGGGTCTTAACTCCCAGCTCTTTATAGTTGATGTTGGACACTGGCACATTCATTGTGTCAGTCAAGACCCAAGTAGAGGTGGAAGAAGAAGCTTTTCTGTCCCACATGTACCTGGTAAGTGCTTCTTCTGGCTGGTTTTCATATCTCCTACAGAGCAGTGTCCATGAAACTTCCCAATCACTGGGATTTCAGAGTTGAATCCACACCACACTCTTCCCTTGCTGTGGGAAAACACAGGCTGTAAAATACAAATGTATCATCGCCTTGTCAGGTACCCTTGGAAAATGAGCCCAAGACTTCAAGGGCTGGCAATTTTTCAGAATCAACATTGGATGGAGTGATTGTTTGGATGTATGCCTCTCATTTTCTGGGTCTGCAGAGACTGAAAGGTTCTTTTTTTGATGAAAAACAATTTTTTTTGTACTGTGATTGGACCCAGGGGCATTTTACCACTAAGCTGTGTCCCCAGCCCTTTTCCTTTTTAATTTTGAGACAGAGGCTAAGTTGCTTCGAATTTGTGATCCTCCCATCTCAGCCTCCTGGGTTGCTGGTATTACAGATGTGCACCACTGCACCCAGCTGAGGCTGAAAGGGTTGGGTTCTATGCAGAGGTTCTGTGCACTTATATATACACTAATTAAGCAGAATCCTAATTGTTTTTCACCTTCAATACTTCATTTAATTCTCATTCACTTTTCTACGAGATGAGTCTCCATGTCTGTTATAAACTGGGAGATTGTTGCCTGTCTCATTGCTCACAGCTGTGTGCACCAAAGCTAGTGTTTAAACTTAGAGATTTGACTTCAGACTCCTAAATCCAGTGCTTGCTTATTCAATGATTTTTGTGGAGTATTCACTCTATGCCAGGCAGGGTTTGATTCATAGCTCTCTGGAGCAGTATCCTCAGGTTGCTGATCTCTGGGATTCTGATGTAGGAAATTATTCATAATTATTTGCATTTTTTTTTTTGGTACTGAGGATTGAACCCAGAGACACTTTTTCACTGATCTACACTCTTAGTCCTTTTTATTTTGAGACAGGATCTTGCTAAGTTGCTTAGGACCCCACTAAGTTGCTGAGGTGGGCTTTGACCCTATGATCCTCCTGCCTCAGCCTCCTGGATTACTGGAATTATAGGTGTGTACCACCACACCTGGCAATTATTCACACTTTTAAGATGCTGGGATGTTTCCAGATTTCCCCTTGGGCTAAGAGCTTCTTGTAAGGGATACCAGGGCTCTGTGTTCAGTATGGATACCTGGCTCACTGACCAATGCTGGGAGGTGGCTGAAATTTTGTGGCCCCTTAGAACCTGCCTCTTGATCTTTTTCTTTTTTAAATTTTTTATAGTTGTAGATGGACAGAATGTCTTTATTTTATTTATTTATTTTTGCTGAGGATCGAACCCAGTGCCTCACACATGCTAGGCAAGTGCTCTGCCACTGAGTTACAGCCCCAGCCCCCCTCTCCATCTTTTGATACAATTTCTTGGTGGCCAGTGCCATCAACTGGCTCTCTCTGTTTGCTTGGTGAAAAGGAGGCTTCTAAAGACAATGATGTAAAGAATAATAAAAGTATTACTAATATAGTTATATTTTGGATTTCTAGATGATTTTTGATTTTTATGAAGCTTTCACATACAAAGATGTTTTCATTTATAGAAGCAGATGAAAAAAACTGGGGATTAGAGAGATTAACTTATCCAGAATCAAGGAACTGATTCGATTCATCAGATAATGATGATTTTTTATTAAGTGCTATGTGCCTGCATTGTTGTAGTTGCTGCCTCTTTGGAGCCTCGCATCCCAGGTCTATACCTCTCTTTCCGCTCCTGAAGTAGTGACTTGGATACTGAAGTAGTGACTTGGATACTGAAGCAGTTTCTCCCTCTGAATTCCTAGCACTCTGGTTGCCTGGACTGTTTGCTGATATCCACATGAATGGTTCAGATTGTCAGAACTGGGAGGCACCTTAGCTCATTTGGTACAACCTCTTCATTTTACAGATGAGGAAATTGAGGTCCAGAGGGGAAATCATTGACCTCAGATCACATAGCTACATAACAACATTGCCAGGATTCTCCCCTTGTTTTGGGACTTCAATTTCGTTTCAGGTATCTATTGCTGTAGAGCAAACTACGTTAATACCCAGTAGCTTAAATTGACAGCTCTTTAGTTTGCTCATGATTTGTGCGTCAGAAACAGGTTAGGCTGTTGCATGTAGTGATCTTTCCCTTAGCTGCATTTACCTGTGTCTAGGCTGGAAAGTTCTAGAAGGCTTTGCTTATATGGCGAGTGACTTAGTGG